TCTATAGCTAGCTGGCTCCATTCCTTAGGGCTCAAGGTGAGGCAGCCCAAGCCAAGCACACCAAGGTACAGAGCAGGGTAGAGGTTGATGCTGCCTCCTCCAACCTCCCATCCCCCCTAGGGTGAAAGGGAGCTGGGCTATATACCCCAGCAAAGGCAGAACAGAATGCTGTGGATGCCCCCAAAGGCAGAAGAGTTCAATTCTCATCATAAACGTGGACCTCCTCTGGCTTTCTCTCTAATGGAAGTTTTGCTTGAGCATGTTTGAAGCTGTGCAACCTCGTGCTTTAAGCCACATGAGGCATGTTCCTGGGCCGGTGACCAGGAAGGTCCAGGGATCTGGCTGGAGTACGAGGAAAGCCATCATTTTGCCATGGCTTGGGAGTCAGAGCCCTCAGTACTGCTGCTGCAGGCTCACTTCCCGTGCCAGGTCCTGGAAAGTCTCACTTTGTAAGCCCTTGCTGAGAATCAGCAGCATGGCTAGTCAGGATCTGGAGCACATTCAGGTCTAGACCAACGCCCTGAAGATACGAAGATACCAGGATCTCCTGCCATCACTCTTAGTCATGCAGTTATTTACTCATTTGTTCAACATATACCCAAATACTTCACATTTGTCAGCATTGGACTAGACCCTGTGGACACAACAGTGAGTAAAAATGAACAAGATCCCTGTTCTCCACATACCACAGGAGAGGACATTTAGCTAATTGTATCTGTGGGTATACAAAATGCAAACTGAGATAAGACTGTAAACAAGGGAAATGCAGCTCAGGGAGTCTGTATGTCTGCAAAGGTCTTACTGAGGAAATGACACAGGAGCTGAGAATGAAAAAGGAGTTTCAAGGAGTTTGGGGTTTCAAGGAGTCAGGGAGGCCTCAAGAGCCCCTGGGGCTGTGGGCAGTGCGACCAGGGAAAATAGACCTTCTTCCCATTGCTATGTGCAAAATGTGATAAGTGAAACAGAAGACTAGTTCCTGGTAGGACTGGCAAGAGAGACCTCGAACTTGATGGTGGTGGTGGTGGTGGGTTGGTAGGTGGAAAGGTGTAGAGCAGACACAGAGGTAAGAATTTAGACATTAGAAAACCATTAGACTTTTCCTTAGGCCCTGAATGAGAAATCGGTTCTTTATCCCAGCTCTGGTCTCCACTGCCACTTTCGGAGGATCTCAGAACCTCCAGGGCCTATTGCGCAGTGGAATAAATAATCTTGTTCCCCTCCACCCTACTTATCTCCGTTAAAAATAGAGACAGCACCAAGTGCCCAGGGGACCATACCAGAATAAATTGATTTTACATGGCTCTGCGGGCCCTGAGAAGAAAGATAAATAAGAGATAATTATGGTTATTAAGACTAAAAGACTTTTCAAGTAAAGCCAACAAAAAAAGGTTAAAGAAACTGCTGTAGTACATCTTGCAAAAAAGGCTAAAGAAGCAGTCAGCATTAATTGCCAGGCCAAGAGAAGGAATTACTTGGAAGACAGAGCATAGCTCTCCCCATCTTCACCTACAGTAGAGAGAGGAAGTTGGCCAGGTGTGATATGGCCAGGTGGCGCATGCCTCATATCCCAACAACTTGGAATCTGAGGCAAGAGCATTGCAAGTTCAAGGCCAGTTTTGGTAGTTGAGCAAGATCCTGTCTCTAAACAATTTTTTAAAAGCTGGGGATGTGACTCAATGGTAAATTGCCCCTGGGTTTAATCCCCAATACCAAAAAAAAAAAAAAAAATAGCCATGTTACAGGCTTTCACACCTGCAGCTCTGTTTTATTGTTCAGATTTGCAATGTAGAGAAGAGGGATTAGGATTAGATAATCTGGGGCATTTGTGGTCCAAGTATTGTTAGATTGAGGAATGTGCCCAAATAAGGTATGGAAGATCTTCCCTGGTTCATGCTAGCAGGAGACAGGGTGTGGGGGGAAGGCATTTGAAGGTCCCACAGACCTCTGGGCTTTCTTTCCAGCATATTTCAAGGTCCAGCACAACATGAGATCCCCTATTTTCCATCAGATCCAGCAATCCCAGGCTGAGAAGGGGAGGGAGGAAGGCTTATCCCAAGGAAAGGACTGGAATCTGGCTTTGCCAGGAGCTCCAGTGATACCTTTTGTTTCAAGTAGAGCTCATAAACTTCCTGCTTGCAAAATTGACTCCATCTTCACCCCATGTTCCCTTGCTGAGGTTTTTGAGACAGCTGGTTTATAGATTGTGCTAAGCCAGAGATGCTGCTGTATGCTGAGCAGATGTGTTTCTAGTATCTTTGCACATCCTCTCATTCTCTTTTCTTTTTTGAAAAACCCATACATATTTAATTCAGTTTTTCAAAATGGGTTTCACATCATTCTCTCTCCCCACTTTGTAATGCATCTTAGTCTCCCGTAATGCGTGTACCTGTCAAATTAAACTTCATGGCTTATCAGCTAGGAGATTGCTGTAGTATCTCGCCAAGTGTTCTTGCAAGCCATGTTACAGGCTTTCACACCTGCAGCTCTGTTTTATTGTTCAGGTGAGTATATACCTTCCTTTCCATAAAGCTCTGTATTCATTGTCTTCAGCTGTCACTTTCAAGGGAGCAGTTTTGTGCAATTGCCCCTTGGGTGACTGGGAGGAAGAGGGGTGGTTGATCAGCTGAGGGGTAGTTGATCAGCTGAGACGTTATGAACTTCCTTGGGGAGTCCTCATTTGGACACAGATTATTAGGGCATGAGAGGACACTGGCTTCAATAAAGCACATTAACCTTGACCTGGAGCCATTGCCCATCAGGCAGAAGGCCAGAAGGAAACATCAACAGCTCAGACACTTGTTCCTCATGCCATCAAGGGCTACTCAGCCCAGGGGTCATGTCCAGTGTTTTTTTTTTATGACCCCTCACACCATCTTGTTCTGTCCCCCTTTAAAGTATAAATACTCTTGGGGGTTGATACCTTAAGCCATTGGTAGTTACTACCTTATCAGGAATTAGGGGTCAGCCATGGGGAGCAGAGTGGAACACACACTAGGGGTAATGAGCATGGGCCACTCAAAGGGAAGAGGAGCTATGCATCCCCTCAGAGCTGAGAACCAAAGTGTGCATCCAGAAACTTACAAAAGTGGTACTGGGGCATGAGGGGCCTCCAACATAGAAGGCCTCTGAGAGTGGGTGACCTGCACCTGCTCCCTGGGGAGGCAGCATGGCAAAGAGGTTTGTGTAGAGGGAAAGACCAGGATGGAGAACCTAACTCTGCCATTCACTTACCAGGTGCCTCCAGGCCATGGAGGGTCACTCTCTGTGTCTTTGGTCTCCCTCCCTCCCTTCCTCCCTCCTTTGCTCCTTTTTCCCCCCTCCCTCTCCACTTTAATTGAGTGCCTTCTCTCACAGACCATGTGCTGTGTCCTGTACTTTACTTTCCTTATTTCATTTAGCTTTATATCACCATGTCATGGAAGTGTCTTCCTACAGATATTTGGTCCTGTACAGATATTAAGAGTTTGGAGCCAGGCACAGTGAGGCACGCCTGTAATCCCAGTGGTTCAGGAGGCTGAGGCAGTAAGATTGCAAGTTCAAAGCCAGCCTCAGCAACAGTGAGACACTAAGCAACTCAGTGAGATCCTATCTCTAAATAAAACACAAATACAAAATAGGGCTGGGGATGTGGCTCAGTGGTCAAGTGCCCCTGCGTTCAATCCCTGGTAGCCCCCCTCTACCACCAAAAATTTGGTAGCTTTATATCACCAAAAATTTGGTAGCTTTATACCTGTGGCAGCTGTTCTCCCTGGCATGGGAGGAGGAAGACTGGAAAGCAGTCTGGACACAGCAGCTGTCTCCTGGCTCTTGTAGGACAGTCAAACTCTAGACACTTTAGGCAGAAGGCCCTGCAGCCCTGGTCATCCCCCAGGACTGTCAAAGCATTAACCAGTGTGGTCTGGATTGCTTTCAGAGGCTCCACAAGGAGCTGCCCCTCAGCCTGGAGGAACTGGAAGATGTGTTCGATGCCCTGGATGCTGATGGAAATGGCTTCCTGACCCCGGAGGAGTTCACCACTGGATTTAGTAAGTTTAGATAGGTACTTGGAGTCCCAGGACTCACCCCAGGTGAGTCTGCCTAATGCTACATAAAGTGCATTTCTTTCCCCTCTAGGTCTGCAGAACATTCAGTACGGGCTTTCCTATCCTCATCTCAGGGGTGCAGAGCTCAAGGCTGCCAGACTCTAGATGACTGGGGGCCTCTTTCACATGCCCACATCAACTGCTTACACCACTACCCATCCAGTGTCCCTGCCCAGGCCCCTCCCACTGAGAATGGCAAGGGGAATGGAGGGGAGCTCTGGAGAAGGCTTAGCACAAAGAGGGAGCTGTGATGAGAGTCTCAGCCCCTCTTTTTCTGCCTTGATATACAAAAAAAAGTGAAAAGGAAAAGAAATGGGACTACTATATGAATTATTTCAATTTGAGGGTGGCTGAGTCAGATGGGTTGAGGGATACCATCCATCAGAGAAATTCCTAGAGCATTTGAGTAGACCAGTCCTTCTCAAAATAACCAGCAAGAAGGAGAATTGAGATCCACAAAAAGGATAATGAACCCAGACATATTATCAGATCAGAAAAACCAATCAGCAACATTTCTATTACATCCAGTATGAGTGTGGAGAGTAACACACACCTGTGAAGGGGAGCAGGGCTAGGGAGGATGACAGGAATGATGCTCTGGACCACGGGTCTTCAGGCTGCTGGAGGGCAATAGAGGTTTTTAAAAGACATTTTTGTTTAAAGTAAAAACCAGCAAATAAATGTATTCTAAACCAGACTGTAGAGGATTGAGAACCACAAAGGAGTCCTCCCACCTGTCAGGCATCTGCCTTTCCCAGGGTCTGGCATCAAGAAGAATCTTATGGAAACACAAGACACAAAGTCTGGGGCATTATGCCCACAGATCTTTGCTATCAGAGGTTTTCCCTTTTGTTTCTCTCAAATGAACTTCAAATGACTCCTGGCAACAGAGTAAGCCAAGCCCTTCCTGGGTGAGGATTGTCTAATTGAGATGCTTGTGCCCTGTACCCCCAGGTCACTTCTTCTTCAGCCAGAATAATCCAGGTCAGGAGGATGCAGGTGAACAGGTGGCCCGGCTCCAAGAGGAGAAGGTGTACCAGTTCCGAGGGGATGAAGATTTGGGCAACATGGACCAAGATGAGGAAGCTGATCAGTTCCAGAGGTTGATGGACAAACTAGGAGCCCAAAAAGTTTTGGAAGAGTAAGTGGGAATGGCAACCTGGGATGGAGCCCAGCCTAGGAGGAATTTGTTCATCTGCTCAATAATAATTCATATTTGCTAAGCCTGCAGTGACAGTCCCCATGGTTGACCAGCGAGGCTCCCTGCTTCTTACATCCTGCCCTTTGCCAGTCAGATCTGTCTCTACATTATATTTTTTAAAATTTGGCAAATATTCCTATTCTCCTTCTCTCCTGCCCTCTCCACTTTTCCCTTCCTGCTGAACATTATCATCACAAATCTTAGGTCTGCCTCATCCTCCAAGGGGTGCTCCCACATCAGAGGTCCAGGCCAGGCCTTAGGGTTCACTCTGACTCTTCTCTAATGCTTCCTGTTGACGTCAGCTCACCAGTATTCCTACCTGCAATGGAGCCAACCCTGGGTCTCCAGGTCTACGGTGCACTTCAGCCACTGGCTGGGTGAGTGCCTGGCAAAGGCCTCTCACAGGGAGGCCTCTGCATGCTGTATCCCTGAGCAAATCAAATTTTGTCAGGAAGACCAGGTGGGAAATTAACCAGTTTCATTAGTCCACCATCTGGATCATCATCAGCTCAACTGAAAAAAATTAGAGGGTTGGAACTTCAAATAATACAATACCCTAATTTTTATTTGTATTCTACAAAGTAATTTTGAATGAGGAAACACATGGACTTAAGCCCTGACATTAAAAGTAAAATAAAAATATGATAAAATAAGACACAATATGATAAGATAAAATAATAAAATGTGTGATGCAGCTGAGAGAAACCAAAGAGTGGGCCTGAAGATCATGTAAACACCATGGCCCTTTCCCTGTGGCCTTTATCCCTTCCATTTTTGGCTTCTAGGTCTGGGGTTGGGTGGGTTTCCTGCAGGCTGGGAAAAGCCTAATGATTAGAGCTGCTATTTCCAGAGCTTGGGAAGAAAAGGGACCATGGTAGAAAAGGGAGCAAGAGATAAGGGCCCTGCACATACTACATAGGCCAGAGCTCTGAAATTTTTTGTGAACAGTTTGGTGGACTGTGTCGGAGGTGAGAAAGGATGGCTAAGGTGTGCCAGGTGGGAGGGGAACAGCATTGGCCTAGGAGGGAGCCTCCTAGGAAGCCCTGGACAGGAAGTAAAACTTGACAGCAGCAGCAGGGGCAGGAACAGCAGCCCAGAAGTGGCTGCCAGGGGCTAGGCCAGTGGAAGATGGAGGGGGCAGGGGGAGTGTCAGGGCACAGGTGGTTGTGGGGAAGCTCACTAGTCAAACATCTAATTCAGGTTCCCCTGAGACAAGAGACCAGAGCACAGAGGCCACAGCCAGGGACCCTGTGAAGCCTCCTCCTGGAGGAGGGGAAGGAGAGCGCAGTGCAGGTGAGCTAGGCCAAGGCACTGTCATGAAAGAAAGGGGCCTCCCCACCTGCTCTTCACTTCCAGGGCAGCTGCTTTCCTAGAGGGACTGTCACGTCAGAATTCACCTGATGTTACTCTAGGGACCTATGCCACAGGCCTGAGCAGAAGTGAGCTAAAACGAGATATTCCAGAGGAGAGAAGGCACTGGGAAAGTTTCAAGAGTAGTCTGTGAAAAATTGGTGCTGACCAGCAAAATCCATCCTCACTGAATTTGAGGGAAGTGCTGCAGCATGACAGAAATGATCGTGACTGAGAGACCCCAGAGAGGAAGAAGAGGAGGCTGTGAAGACTTCAAAGGTATCCAAAAGTTCTGCTTGGATATCCAAAGGCATCATGGTTTCTGTGTTGTCCTGGAAGCAGAGAGAGAGATTTATTCATCTCCCAGGACCCTTCTGGTCTGCAGGCCTATATCCCTCCATAAGGGCAGCCTCAGTGTGTCCAGAGGTGCCCCAATTTCCTTGGCAGTCTGATTGGCCCAGTGATTTGTGGGCTTTGGCTTATTTTTCCTCAAAAGTCAGAAAATATGGTATGGCCATTAATAAGAATTTCAAAGACCACTGGAAGAGTGGCCAGTGGGTCTGCAAATCTCATTGGCATTTTTAGTCCAGTTGGCTGCTCTCCCAGGCTCCATAGGAACGTGGAAGATGTGAACAGATGACCTAGGCTAGCAAGGTGGACCTTCATTTCATAATGCTTGTACTTCATGAAAGGGGGGCCTAATCTGTTTAGGCTGCTATTAACAAACACCCATAGATGGGTGCCTTCTGAATAACAGAGGTTGATTTTCTCATAGTTCTGGAGACTAGGGAGTCCAAAATCAAGGTGCCAACAGATTTGATATCTGGTAAGATACCTTTTCCTGGTTCATAGATAGCTGTCTTCTCCCTATGTCCTCCCATGGTGAAAAAGAAATAAACTCAGGCCCCTTTCATTAGGGCACTAATCTTATTCATGAGGATTCTGCCTATGTGATCTAATCACCTCCACAAAACCTCACCTTCTAATAACATCACTTAGGGTTAGGATGTCAACATATGAAATTTGGAAGCTCACAATCATTCATACCCCAGTGGGGTTCAATCTTCCACAAGGATGGAAGGTCATCAGGGTGTCTCTCTGAGACCCTTTGTCTCTAAATCCTTTGTGCCATCTACATTTTGCCTATACAACGAAGTAGACACCCACGACATGGTTTGTGTGGAGAAAATGGAATTCGGGGAAGCAGAGAGACTCCTTACCTCCCCTCCTCTTGTCTCCTGGACTCCTTCATATCATCTGGTACAGAGCCAGGTTTGTAATAGATGATAAATATTCAAGCATGAGATTGAATGTGGTATAACTAAGGGTAGTTTGTAACCCTGAAGGTGAAGCTGAAACCCAGGGCTGGGTTTGGGCAGAGGTTGGGTGTATGCCAACAGGACAGCACCACCCCATGCCTCTGCCACACACCCCTGTTGGATGGATGAGTGCACGGATAGATGGGTGGGTGGGTGGATGGGTGCATGCATGATGGCTGGCTGGATGGATGGATGGTCTCAGTAAGCAGGCAGATGTTTGGATGGAACGGAAGCAAGAAATGATGGTAGTGAAAAAGCATGGGATGGAGGGAGGAAGGGAGCAGAGAGATGAACAGACACTAACCAGAGGTGGGTTTATTTCTCAGAGGGCCTCTTCTCTGCTGGGTGCAGAGAATTATACCTGTTCCCCAAGAACATTTCTAACATGGCCCAATCGAAATATCACTTCTGAGGAGAGTTTCTAAAACATAGTGCTTGTTACATAGGCCCAAAGGATTTTATTCTTTGTCCTGAAGGGACATAGTCATAGCTGCCCTAGAATCATATTGGTTTTGTAACTCAGTGGGGGGCAAATCAGATTTATGTTTGCCTTATTTCAATCATCGGCCATAGATTTTTTTAGTCCAGAGGGTGAGAGCAGGGCCCAGGAATGTGGCTCCTCTCCTCGTCCTCCCTTTGATGATCAGTGTGGCCCCACAAGTCTTTGCTGCTGTGCTGGGTGGGCTCAGGCTCTATCATGCCCATTTCTAGAGGGTGCTTCTGGGCCTGTCACTCTGCGTCTCATCTCTCTGACTGCCTCCACGTCTCCCAGCCGTCCACTTGTCTTTCCCTCTGTGCGTCCACATCCTTCAGACTTCTCCTTCCCTTTCATTCGCCTGACAGTCACTCACATGCCACAGTGCCCCAGGGGGTGCTGCCTATTCTCTTCCCTTCCCCACAGTGACAATTGCATTCTACCATCCATCAGATGGTATGTCTTTACCTCTCAGTGGTGAAGGCCATTCTTCCTGGAAGTGACAAGCTTGTTCCTTTAGCTCCCGAGCGGTTTTCCCCACCTTCACTGGCTCCCAGCCACCTCACTTCTCCCTGGCATTTTGAGGTGCTGTGAGTACATTGCTGCCTGTGCTCACACCTCTAGCCCACTGTGGCAGACACAGAGAGTGGAAGCAACAGAGCGAGGTAGGAAAGGAGCCCATCACTGGAGTCATGTCCACCCAGAGCATGTCCCCGACTCCATTGTCTATGACAGTGATCACAGCACACTGCACCTCTCTCTGTTTCCGCATCTATAAATGGGAATGACGGCAGCCTCTGCTTCCCAGGCTTCCCATGAGGATAACATGAGCCGATGTGCAAAAAGCACCTTGCATACAGCAAGCACTCAATAAATGTTAGCTACTATCATTCATTTATTTTTAATTGGTGCACTATAGTTGGATATAAAACTGGAATGCATTGTAATATGATCATACTTGCACATAGCGTAATTGTATCAACTTTACTCCCTAGTTCTTTTACTGTTTTATTTTATTTTATTTGAATTTTTGGTACCAGAGATTGAACTCAGGGGTGCTTAACCACCGAGCCACAGCCCTAGCCCTTTATATTTTTTTTATTTTGAGCAGGGTCTCGCTTAGTTGCTTGGAGCCTTGCTAAATTGCTGAGGGTGGCTTTGAACTTGCAATCTTCCTGCCTCAGCCTCTGGAGCAGCTCTCTTACTCTCATTTTTATGATGATGATGGTGATGTCATCTCCAGCTGTCCACTTCCTTTCTGGGAACCACTGCGTTTCCTGCAGAGCCTCATTTCTCCACTCCCACCTTAACGTCCTTCCTTCTTTTGCAGCGAAGACGACGTGAAGCAACTCTGGCTGCAGCTGAAGAAGGACGAACCTCACTTGCTGTCCAACTTTGAAGATTTTCTAACCAGAATCATCTCCCAACTCCAAGAAGCCCATGAGGAGAAGATTGAACTGGAACGCGCCCTAAAAAGGTGGGTACCCAGTCTCAACCACTCTCTGTGCTCTCTGTGCCTGTGTGTAGAAACCATAAACATAAAGAGCACTTTCAGTTTTCCATGGAACCCTGTGTGATGCCTCCTTATCACTGTCTGGGTGGAGTAGGGGTGTCTTCTATCACATATCTACTTTTAAGCCCTTGCTCATATTTACTTAGTGCTAACCATACACTCCGAATCTCACAACCCTTTTGAGCTAGGGACCATCTACTGGTATCCACATTTTACAGATGAGGACTTTGAGACACAGAAATGTTAAGTAACATGCCCCAGAATGCAGTTTCTAAGTGATAGAGCCAGATGGCCTATCTGGCATTCTGGGCCCCTCCCGACTCTGAATTGGCCCTCCCTCTGTAGAGGCAGCACATCTATATGGTGGCCTAATGAATTTGCCTCTCCTGACTTCTCCCCTGTCCTCGCTCCTCTCTCTGCCTCCACGGCTTCTCCAGGAGACAGGAGACAGGGGCATGAGGTCCATCATGAGAACTGACATGTGGTCACGGGCACTGTGTTTATTCAATCACTGTAGACGTTCAACACAGTAAACTCACATTTGGGAAGCATGGGATTGAATGTGGTATAACTAAGGGTGGTTTGAAACCCTGAAGGTGAAACTGAAACCCAGGGCTGCGTTTGGGCAGAGGTTGGATGTATGCCAACAGGACAGTACCACCCCATGCCTCTGCCTCACACCCCTGTCCTGCTCCAAGGGTTTGCTCGTATTCTGTAGGAATCTATCCCCAACAAGTCCACAGCTATGTGAAGCTGCAGACCACCTGCCCACTGTGCAGATCCCTCCCTACAAAGTTTGCTCCTGTGTGGAGGGATTTTAGAGTCTATGCTGAAATAGCCCTAAAAGAAGCACAACCGATCAAAAAAGAATAGATCACCATAAGCTTCCATCTACCTATCACCCTGAGCCCCAGCTCTTTTTCATCCTGGGCCTTCCCCACATAACTCCCAAAATAGCTCACTGGGATAGATACAAATCTGGGGGGGAAAGAGTCCACATTCTGGGGGAGTTGAGGCCTGTAGTGCTAAAGGATGCACAATGGCTAGAGGACTGTTAAGAGAATCCTGGGGAGAGGTGGCCAAGGCTCAGAGAAGGGAAGATCTGAGGGAGGCACTTGTATGTAACTTTTACATCATTAAACCATGGTATCAGACAGACTTGAGAGAGAATCTTGGTTCTGCCACTTACTAGCTGTGCAATTTAGGCCAAGTTACTTAACCTCTCTGAATCTCAGTTTCCTTATCTGTCAGATAGGGATGGTCAGAGTTGTAAGCATTAAATGTGATCATATGTGTGAGTATTTGGAACAGCGCTTGCATACCAGTAATTGATGCATGTCAAAAGAATAATTATTGTCTTAAATTAGTATCTTTGTCAGTATTAGAGGATTTGTCTGCCTGAAGCAGGGAGTTTGGGCCTTGATATAATCAGAGGTGAAGTTCAAAGGAGCTTTTATCCTTCTAGACAACATGGTGTCGAGGCTGGCTAAACCAAGTGTGGTACATGGACCAGCAGCATTGGGCATCACTTGAAATACCTTAGGGATGCACAGAATGTTGGGCTTCACCCCAGCCACACTGAATCTGCATTGTAACAAGATATCCAGGTGCTTTGTGTGTAGATTTGAGATATGGGGGGGCTGGAAATCAGAAGATCTGAATCAGGTATGGCAAAGCAACCCGCTAGCTCTGTGATCTTGCTCAAGTCTCTTGGCCGCTCTGAACCTCAGTTTTCTAATCTATAAACTGAGGGAGCTGGATCAGTTTCTACCCCACCTCACCCCATTCCCTCTGACCTGGAGGAGCCACTGCAAAGTCAGGCAGCCCTTCCAGAGGGGGGTACTCTTTGTGTACCTAGAGAGAGCAACTGAGTCTGAATGGGTGAGCAATTACCCAGATCGCAGCCTAGAATCTCATTGCAGGCCTCCTCTGCTGGCCTGCTCTCCTGCAGATAGAGACAAATGCCACTGACACGCTGGAGAGCCTCTTAGCCCTGACATCCATCTTCAAGTGGCCTCTGTAAGTGCTTTTGCCCTAATTTAGTAATTGCTTTAAAAGTTCTTGAGATGAAAGTCAAGGCCACTTTTGGCAGTGTGTACAAAACCATCTCAGCCAAAGCTTCCAGTCCCTCCATGCCAGCTACCCCTGCCTGAGGTCAGCTGATCAAGTCCTGCTCTGGCAAGACTGGGGACTCACTGGGGTCTCTGACAGCCTTATTCTGGAGGTATTCTCTGGCACAGAACCAAAGAATTGCAGGTAGTAGTGAGCAGAGCACTGATCTAGGAAGGAGGAGGACCTGGAGCTCTTCCTAAACCACCAGCTTGGTGGCCTCAGGCAACATGCTTTACCTGTCTGTGCATTAATTTCCTTGTTGGCAACATGGGTGAAGGAGATTGGTGTTTTTCAGACTCTTTGAGATGGTGACTCACTAGAAGAGATACATTTCACTTTGCAATCCTCATACACTCCTATGTAGGTGTAGCTGAAACCAAAGTTCTATGAAATTGTACTCACCCTTATTACATGTGACACTGAGGTTTTTATATTAGAGTCTTTTTTATTCAATTAAAAAAAATAAGGTCTGTCCCACATTGCTGGTAGACCAGACCATCTCTAAAGTACCAGATGATCTATAACTTCTGCAGCTCAGAATGGTACTAGACCCAGGTCCAACTGCTCGCTGCTGGAAAGCCAGTACTCTGGAGATGAGTGTTGGTGGGAAGGAGATCAGTTTTATTCAAGGTCCAGCATCTTGAACAATGGGGGAGCTATTGCCTCAGAGCCCCTTCTCAGGGAATTCAGGGGTCACCAAGGGCTTTTATAAGGAAGGAAAGGAGGATCAGGGGACAAAGTTAAAGCAGGGGACAAAGGACAAGCAAGATTCCTGCTGCCCAGGGTCCTGATCATCCAGGGTTTGTGTCTCTTTCTTCCCCCCATCTGACCACACTACAAGAGACCTTCGCCCCCTGGAACTATTTACAAACATATTGCATTTCTGCAAGCTAAATATTGCATCAATTTATATGTTTTGTGTTAGTTAATGCGCAGAATTCAAGAATAAGGAGGAGTGTTGCCCATTCTGGTGTTCTCTGAAGGCCCCAGATGTTCTGGGCTCTGTACATCTGGAAGAAAGATTGTTTAACATTTGACAGAGATGTCACTCAAGTGTGACTTTTCTTTAGAATTTAGAATGCCAGGCAAAGGGAAGGGAGACAACCCTGTCTAGGACAATGCCCAAAGGGCCACCACTGTTACAACAAGTCAAACAAGAAACCAGGACATCTCAATGGAGTATAAAATATTTAAATGGGATTCTTTGCAGATAACCCAGGGTGAGGTTAAGTGATTCTGAGACATGTTTTAGAAAGTGAGTTTGATGGTTTGGACTGGTTTGGGGGAGGGGCAAGTCCAGGCTTTAGAGAAGGAAGTGGGAGGAAGTGCTGGGAAAGGCCTGATTCAGGATGGGAGTCCAGCGGAGTCCCAGCAACAGCCATCCCAGTGAGCTGTCAGAATGTCTCGCAGGCTCTGCCACAGGCTTACCTTTGCTTTTCAGCACAGGTCTGACATTTAACTCCATCTGGAAGGTGCCATAGATGATGGAGATGAATGTAAGTCATAGCTGCTGTGTGTCCCTCCCAGGGCTGGAGTCAGAGGGGAATGCAATCTGATTCACATGTTATCAGTACTTGGCATTTAATAAGCGCTTACACTGTGCCAGGCTCTGAGGTAGGCAGATAGAGCCCAGAGTCCTTACCCTTGAAGAGTTCATGATCACACTAACTAGGCAGAGCTTATACCAAATTCTGCACAAAGCTGACCAGAAAGTTCCCACATGGAAACATTACTTGGCGACGAGAGCCTCTGCTGCCTCTCTTTTTGCAAACCACACACTTTGTTTTTTCTTCTCATGGGGCACAGAGAAAATGAGACTGACTTCTTGGGAAGTCTGGCCTTCCCCCAGGTATGCAGGAGGTACATTCCCTGACCCCAGATCCCCAGGCTGGGCCATAACCCTCAGGGGTACAGTGTTGCTTCAGTGAGTAAAAAAGTCCACTCCTCCTTACAGTCGCTCGCAGGTCCCAGGAGGAATGGAGAAGCTGTTGGGGTAATTGTGTTAAGGCTCCAGTAGATTCTTGTGCTCTCCATTAAAAGAACCAGATAAAGGCATAGATATAACAGGAACAAACTCTTTATTGGGATCTCTTGCTCAAGCAGGGAGAGACTGACTCAGAGAATGTCAAGCTGGCCAAAGGACAAAGGAGAGAGATAATTTTATCCAAGTAGAAAGGGTGGGAGGGGTGGGCTAGAGTTTTGTTAATTGGGTTTAAGTGCTTTTCAAAAGGTGTTTTTCTTTTCTGGGGCCAGCACTTCAGCCTTGAGGGAGAGGGAGTCATTAATTCTCCTGGTGCCAAAGTTCTGTCTCTCATATTGACCCTGCTTCATGCATCCACATCTTTGCTCTGTGAGAAGAGTTGCTGTAGCTGCTAGAGAACACATCGGTGGGGAGTGTTGAAAACACAAATCATTCGAGTAACAAGTTAAGTGTCCTGGCGACGTGCTGCTTCCGTGACTCCTCAACAGTGTCATCCTTTAGGTTGTTTGTTCTTGAAGGTGTCAGGCTTTAATGACACATCTGGTTTCTGAGACCTTGAAGACTGTTTGAGAGTGAGTGGGTGGGGAAGGTCGTACCTTGCTCTGAATAGCTAACACGCCTGGAGCCAGGGCAGGAGAGCAGGGAAGAACAGCTCTCACGCCTTTAAGTGCCAAGGAGCCAGGAGTGAAGGCCCAGGAGTGCATCTGCCCTTTTCAGTGGGTAAGCAGCGACTGACAGCCTCATTCCCCCTTCAGAGTTTTTCCTCTTAATTGTAAGTGGTGCTGCTTTTATGGGCTTCCTGATGGTCTTGTATGTGCTTAGGAAAGCTCCTGACAGCAGGTGTCAGAGACCCAACCTCAGAGCGTGCTGA